TAAAAAAATCTTAGTAGTTTTATAGTTGGAGTATCAGTTTTCATATAATTTACCTACGGATAGTAATTCCGTAGGTAATTACCTACGAAATTACCCATAGACGACATTATCTACGGATAATATCCTTAGGTAATTGATAACTTACATACAATGTATTTTAATATGATATAATTTACTTACAGATAGTAATTTCATAGATAACTACCTACGGAATTACTCACAAATGACATTACCTACGGATAATATCCGTAAGTAATGGATAATTATCCACGAGATAGAATTCCGTAGGTAATATCTCGTATGTAATGTATAATTTACCTATAAATTTTTATCCATAGGTAATATTTTATAGATAATAGGCTTTTTTTTTTTAGTGTAACTTTTTCTCGCTAGGGAAAAAAATGATTTAGATTACATAAACAAAGTTTCTTTTGAATGAGTCATAAATGAAGAATGAGGTAAATATTGTTATGCTAGAAACATGTTTTGTGTGCCTATTGAAGTTTTTACTAACATTGACACTGTGTTAGAAAGTATCAATGACAGAATAATAGAAAATTATAAATTCGTTAATATCCAACCATGATTATAAATATAATTGTTATTATATTGATAACATATAATGCTGGATAAAAATTGTTGTAATATTGTAACTTTTAACCATGATTATTGTAATAACAAGGATTTTAAAACCATTATTATATATATCTTTTTTTACCTGCCTTTATATCCCTTATACATTAGTGAGTAAACACAAATATTTTAACATTGCATACATAATGTGACTGTCATAGTCTTAATTTAAGAACTCTTTTTTAGAGTTCTACGATATTTTCTTATTTGACAATTGAAATTTTTTACCAATAATATAAAAGGTCTAATTATTAATCTTTAATCACAAACACAATTGGGAAAGTAATGTAATTAGTGCATGTGTAATTAAAACTTAAACTCCAACAAAAAAAAAAGTTTTCCTTCAACTAGCTAGACAAGATAATAATCCTAAAATAAAAAGTGTGTTGAAAGTCCCACATTGTCTACCTCATGTCATTTTGTATGATTTAAATACATGTTAGGCTACTCCACGTATTGCCAATTGGTTTTATGTTGGAACTTTAACATGGTATCAGAGCCAAAGTCTAACATCTTTCCGGTTATTGTCATAGGCCAAAAGTTGTCCTTTAGTTGGGTCAAAAGTACCCTTTAAAAGTCTCACATCGCCTACCTCATGTCATTTGATATAATTTAAATACATGTTAGGCTACTCCACATATTGTCAATTGGTTTTATGTTGAAACTTTAACAAAGTGAAACTAAATCTTTCTCATGTTCATGGAATTGGCAACTTTGAGTTTTTAGTAGAATTGATTATTTTGTATAAGTTAATGAACATCAGTAAATAGAATTAGTAAAAACGTTAAAAAAAATGCAAATTAATGTGACTATAGAACTTGTAAAACATTTAATTTACTATAGAAAAATACAAAGAATTTGGTTTTGTATTTAGTGTAAAAAAATTGAAAATTAAATGGATATTGAATATGAATTTATTTTAACACATTGAATTCATAAGAAAACACATTATATGATGAAAATATAGTTTCAAAACACCATATAAAATATTGAGTCTTTTAAGGGTATAAGAATAACTTATAAGAGTTGCTTCCTACCTTGAAAATATAAAGTAGAAATTTATGATGTTATATTATTTTTAAGCAATTTATTGTTGATTTTACTCCATTAGAAGTATTTTTAATAAATTTTAAAAACTCATTTTTTCTCCTATTTTCTCTCCTCATTTATTTTGGATTTGCTTATATACGTTTATAAATAAATAAATAAAAAAAACAACTTATCATGTCACATATGATTCTTCTAATGGAAAGTCAATTCAAGTAATTAATACCATAGGCGCAACAGAAATTTTAGACGAGGGATCAACATATAAAATTTAAGTATCATATAAAAATAAATATATGACATATTAAATATTACTAATTTAATTTAAGTTTTAGAAAATTTATTTCATGTATCATCTTTTCTCTTTTAAAAAATGAGTCTATAATTTTTTTTAGATATCTATAAAACTCAAATTGATATTTTTTTTCATATTTTAAAATCAAAATAGAGTGAAAAAAACATTGAAATAACTAACTAATCTATAACAAATAAAAAAATCATTATTTTATATTTTTATATTATACTACACATGCTAACTTGTTATAATAATAATAAAAAAATTATTTATTATTTTTTACTTTAAAAAATAATAAAAAATATCTCATTTAGAAAATATTAGAAAAAGAAAGATAAAATTAAAAAAAAGAGAAAAAAATGTAATTAGTAACAAACGATATATATCATATTCATTATAAATAAAAATTAAGAGAAGAAAAATAAAGTAATTAATTTTATTTATATTTATAAAATATTTTTTATTTAATTTTAAATTATTATTATTATTATTATTATTATTATTATTATTATATGATTTGCGGTTGGGGAACGTGATCCCGTAATTTTTCCTCTATTTAAACATATCAATAACTAGCATTCGAAATACTCTAAACAAATTTTAAATATATTATTTTTATATATTATAAATCTAAAATTTAGGTCATTTAACAAAAATTTAAACCATGTAATGAGGATATTTTAGATTTTTGTTATTATTGAAATACTAACAATTCTTCAGTTAAAATTTGAAACTACCTTATAAATATTTAAAAACTTATTCAAAATGTGGTAATCTTTTTTCATAATTTTTATGATCTTGACGGTGAAACTTGTTTAAAAATAAAAAATTTAATTGAGAAATTTTAACAATTGAATCAAAATTAAAAATTTATAATATTAAATTTTTAAAATATATTTTGTTATTTTTATAATGAATGAATAATTTATACAAGAATCTTAATTATTCATGTTATTGCTACATGGGCTATAATGTTTTTGTCAAATATTAGAATTGTTAAAATATTATTTATGATTTATTATGTAATAAAATAGATTTAATTATTTTTCTCTAATTTTTATAAGGAATTCAAATCTTGATCAAGAAAAAATATTGATAATTTTGAAAGAAAAAAGAAGAAGATTAAAAACCATGTATCTTTTATTCCAAATATTGAGTAATTGAATTACAAATTATTTAACATGTCAGCCCGTAATAACTTACTCCAGAGAGAGCTCGATTATTGGATAATGTTATTTTTCTGCTTTTTTTATTATTTTATTAAAACATATAAATCTTTTTTGTGGATAATTCTTGTTGTGTTATCCAAAATCGCAAGGAATTTCGAGGCTTATGAACCAGACAACAGACAAGTTGCCGAGCAAGTATAACAGTCTCCATTTGGCAATACAAATATACAACTAACTTTTCTTTTATTCTAGAATTTGTAAATAAAATCAATTTAAAATACATTTTAACTGTATTTATTTTCTTTTAATTTAAAAACATCCAACTTAACAATCAATTAACACAAATTTTCTTGAACTAGATCAATAATTTAAAAGTATACATTATGAAAGTAATGAGAGGAGATTGATGACAATGTAAAACATGTACCTATATTCCCAAAAAATGATTTTGATGATAATTCAAGTTAATAACATTCAAAACTTAAGCAAGTCCAAGATATGATTTTGAAAAAGATTTTATTCAACATTCAAGCAAACCCAAGATGATTCCTGAATACTAGACAGAGTCTTAGAATACTAGATATGGAGGTACAAGTTGATGAAGTAATATTATGCATAAGCCTCCAAAGCACAAGTGTGATAAAATTCATAACATGATATTTTTCATCTGTTATAATCAATTATGATACATCGAAATATAAAAATGATTTTCTCTGTCATAATTGATTATACTAATAACATAATCAATTATGACAATTCAAATATACTGGTAACATAATCAATTATGACAATTCAAATTTGAAAAATATATCTGTTTTGAAGAATAAATGTTTTTGAATATATCATGATTTTTATTCACAAAATATTAATGTCCAATGACCATTTTTTGATGCTATTTTTCTATTTAATTAAGTTTTGATGAAAAATAAAAAACACACAATTACAAAATTTGAAAATACAATTTACATTCAATCAGTTTTGAGAAAAGAATTCTGAGCAAGACAGAGATATTTTACAGCTTCTGAGAAAATCCTTTTCTCTACTGTCTTCTGTGCTTTCATTATTAATCACACTTGTTCTTGGAGATTGACATTCTACAGACTTCTACAATTAGTGTGATTCTAGGGAGGTGTTCATCCCTAGTGTGATTCTAGGAAGGTGTTCATCTTTAGTGGGATTCTAAGGAGGTGTTTTTCATAGAGAGATGTTCATCCTTAGTGGGTTTCTAAGGAGGGGATTATCTTTTTAATTAGTTTACTTTTTACTGGTTCTTCCGCTAAGTTGATTGTAATTTATAAACTAAATTTGAAAGATAGTGAATTGGGAGTCACTCTTGTGTTTAAAGTTGACTGGGAACTGGATGTAGGATTGACTATACCGAACTAGTATTATTGTTTCCACTTGATCTGTCTTCAAACAAATTATTGACTCACAAATACATTTTTAATTTGACATATATTTTAAGTTGTGCATCTATTTACCCCTTTAGATGTCATTTGTCTAACACACTACATTATTACTTTTAGAAAAAGCATATCATTATATTAAATATTAAAAAAAGATCTTTTATTAAAATTTAGAGTTCCTTCCAATTTTTTTTATATTAAGATAACATTATCATGTTAAGATATTATCTATTTAAAATTTTAATAGTTTACAATTTTATTTTAAAGACATAAATTATCATTATTATAATAAGCAATAATACGAGAATGTAACGAAAAATATATAAATTTATAAATAATAAAAAATGATAGAATATATACAAAGTACCTTTTATTTCTATATAAAGGCCTGCTATCTTCCCAACAGGTTCTAAAATCTTATTCTCTGGCATCCACTAGATAAAAGAGAGGATGAAACCTCACATCTCCGGCGAAAGCTCTCTGGCCAATGAGTTCAGGAGATCTGTCGGCGAGAAGCTTCATCAAGTTGATGAGGCAGCGGCGGCCACGGTGGCAATTGCCGCCGATGCTGCCAAGCAAGGTAGGTTTCTAGAAGCCGAGAGACGACGGAGAAGGAACCACCGTGTAGAAGACCCCATCAGAACCTTGATGTTCTTGGGATCTATGAATCACACATGAGAACTTAGACTCATGAGGTAGTTCAAACTTAACCCCTTTGAGTTGGGGATGAAAAATGAATACCAAAATTTATTCCAATTCTCACACACATTTATATATATATATATATATATATATATATATATATATATATATATATATATATATATATATATATATATATATATATATATATATATATATATATATATGTATTGGTACTATGTTAATAAATACGTGATGTAAAAACGTGATGAACCTTCGTGTCTAGAATTATTGTAAGTGTCCTTTTTTTATTACTATTATTTTGAAACTATATATACCAAATTGATATGTATTTTATAGTTTCTCATTTCATTACTGCACTATATAGGTGGCTGGATCTGTATGTATACTTATAAAGATATGGTATACTTACACGAATCCCTACAAAACATAAGGGTAGGATGATCTTAAACGACAACGTCAAATAAATTTATTTACTATGTTTGATTAACAAAAACTATTATTTAATGTTTGTTAGTGGTGTGCTTCATAGAGAAAAACCATAAGAATTCAGCGGCTTCACTGTATTTCCAGGTTTAGCTAAGGATGAATCATACACAAGATTAATTGACAATTTTTCTAACTTTATTTTAACAATAAGATACCATTTTAGAAGGGGAAATGTTGGGTTGAGAAACCATATATTCTACTGACAAGTATATATATATATATATATATATATATATATATATATATATATATATATATATATATATATATATATATATATATATTAATTAAATAATAAAATTTATTCTTATACTAATTTTTTTGGAAGGTTGTATCGATTATCAAATATTAATACTTTTTTAAAAGAGATTTTTAGGATGATTATTTTTTACTTTTTCACTCGATTTTGTATATTTATATTAATTATAAAACAACTGAAATAATAAGTTTAGCTTCTTATATTCTTCTACATACAATTGTCTGTGCAATATAAATCTAATTTCACATAAAAAAAAGTTTATTAAATATATTTCTTACATAAAAAATTGTCACATATGCATAAAAATAAACAATAAACTAAAATACAAACAAGAAAATAATAGAATAAAAAATAATTATGTAAAATTTAAATAACCAAAACATTTAGAAATGAATTCACCATAAAAAAGAAACTGAAATTATATTATAAGAATAAACAAAAAATAATAATAATGTGAAAAATGAATTGTGAAAAAAAATAGATATATAGTGTTGAATATAGAGAAAATAGGGTTTGAAATTAATTTCCCTTGTGTATAAATCACACATAGGGTGGTCAATTTATAGTAGAGAGATACAACTAAAAGAGTAGCTGAAAGTAACAGAATAAACAGAAGATATTGTTTGATATTGTGGTTACCAATATCTAACAATATCTTAACAATATCAAATAATATATAAACAATATCTAACACTCCCCTCAAGCTTGGAGCATACAAATCGTATGTGTCAAACTTGTTACAAATATAATCAATTCTAGGACCCCGTAAAGATTTAGTAAAAATATCTGCTAACTGATCACTTGAGTTAACAAACTCAGTCTTGATATCTCCAGACATAATATTTTCTCGAATAAAATGACAATCAATCTCAATGTGTTTGGTCCTCTCATAAAAGACAGGATTATAACTAATATGAAGAGCAACCTGATTGTCACACACAAGTGTCATTTGAGTAACATCTCCAAATTGTAATTCTCTAAGCAATTGATTGAGTCAAACAAGTTCACAGGAAGCTGAGGTCATAGCTCTATATTCTGCTTCTGCACTGGATCTTGCCACAACACTTTGTTTCTTACTTTTCCATGAGATCAAGTTACCACCAATGGAGACACAATATCCAGATGTAGATCTTCTATCCGAAGGAGATCCTGCCCAATCGACATCCGAGTAGCAAACAACTCTTGTATGGTTATTAGAACCATATAACAATCCTTTTCAGGAGATCCTTTAATATACTTCAAGATACGAATGATCGCATTCCAATGATCTTCACATGGTGAATTAAGAAATTGACTTACCACACTGACTGCAAAGGAAATGTCAGGACGAGTAACTGTAAGATAATTCAATTTTCCAATCAATCTTCTATACTTGCTCGAGGATCAGATATAGGCTCCCCTGATTTGGTAGAAGTTTAGTATTGGGATCCATGGGTGTATCAACGAGACTTTGAACTCATCAACCCAGTTTCCTCCAAAATATCTATGGCATACTTCCTCTAAGATATAACAATACCATCATTGGACTGTGTCACCTCAATACCCAAGAAATATCTAAGTTTGCCAAGATCTTTGGTCTGAAAATGGTGACAGAGATGTTGTTTCAACTGAGAGATGTCATGGTTGTCACTACCTGTAAGAATGATGTCATCAACATATACTATCAAGTAAACACATCCAGCACTCGAGTGTCGATAAAAGACAGAATGATCTGATTCACACCGAGTCATACCAAATTGTTGAACAATCTTGCTAAACTTTCCAAACCAAGCCCTAGGAGACTGTTTTAGGCCATATAGGGATTTGCGAAGACGACATACCATCCCAAAAGACTCCCCCTGAGCAACAAACCCAGGAGGTTGCTCCATATATATTTCTTCTTGCAAATCACCATTGAGGAAAGCATTTTTAACATCCAGTTGATAAAGAGGCCATTGTTGAAGAGCAACCATGGCGATAAATAAACGAACAGAAGTCATTTTTGCCACAGGGGAAAATGTATCTCTATAATCCAACCCAAAAATTTGAGTATAACCTTTGGCCACAAGACGAGCTTTGAGGTGATCAATAGTACCATCAGGTCCAACTTTGATAGTAAACACCCACCTGCAACCAACAACAGATTTCCCAGACGGTAACGGGACCAATTCCCAAGTTCCACTATTATGAAGAGCACTTAGTTCATCTAACATGGCCTGACACCAACCAGGATGGGCTAAAGCTTCACGGACAGTTTTTGGAATGGTCACAGAAGAAATAGAGGAAAGACATGTATAAAAAGGTAATGACAGTCGATGATAACTCAAAGCAATATAATGAGGAGAGGGATTACATGTAGAACGAATACCTTTTCAGAGGGCAATGGGAAGGTCAGACTCATGTGTCAGATCCGAAGGAGACAGAGTAGTTGGCACTTGAGTAGAGTCACATGGTGGTGGTTGTGATTGGTTTTGAGAACTATAAATCTGAAGAGGCAGTGGAGAAGAAGCTGACTGCGGAGCAGGAACTAATGGTGAAGAAGACACAGTTAGAGGGTCACAAACAACAGGAACATTAAATGTATTAGGAGTGTTGACAAGATTGGACGGAGACAGAGGTGAAGATTAACTTTTAAAATAAAGAGACAACTCATCAAAGGTGACATCTTTTGACACAAAATAACGGTTAAGAGAAGGAAAAAAACATTTGTATCCTTTTTGTGATCTTGTAAACCCTAAGAAAACACATTTATGTGATCTAGAAGAAAGCTTGTCAAGACCAGAACTGAAATTATGAACAAAACATGTAGACCCGAAAACTTTCAGAGATAAAGGATGAAGTGGTTCATGAGGGAATAAAATGGAATGAGGTATTTTATTATCTAAAACCGAATAAGGCATGCGATTAATGAGATAACATGCAGTAAGAAGAGCATCACCCCAAAAATGTTGAGGAACATCTCCATGAATTAAAAATGTGCGAGTTGTTTCAATAAGATGTCTATTTTTACGTTCAGCTACACCATTTTGTTGAGGTGTATAAGCACAAAAGTTTGATGCAAAATACCGTGAGAAGCCATGAATTGTTTAAAATAATGAGAAAGATATTCACGGTCATTATCACTATGCAAAACTCTAATAGAAACACCGAACTGAGATTCAGAACGATTTTTCATCAAAAATAACCAAGTGCATCTGGAATAATCATCAATGAAAGTAACAAAGTATTGAAAACCTAAAGTAGACTTAATGCGGCTAGGTCCCCAAATGTCAGAGTGAACCACGGCAAAAGGGGACGAAGCACCACGTGTGAAACTAAGAGGAAAGGAAGTACAACTATGTTTGCCTAATTGACATGACTCACACGCCAAACTAGATAAGTTGGACAAGGCAGGGACAAGTTTCTGTAACTTGACAAGACTTGGATGACCTAACTGAGCATGAAGAAGAGAGGGAGACTCCATAACTGTACTAACATGTGTAGAGGGACGGAGATAATAAAGACCATGAGACTCACATCCTGTGCCAATCACCTGTTTCGAACTTCGATCCTGTAAACACACAGAATTATTGGTAAAAGTAACAACACAATCAAGAGAACGAGTTAGACGACTGATGGACAACAGGTTAAAAGGATACCCAGGAACATAAAGAACATTATCAATGGCTAAAGAAGGAAAAAGTTTAATCGTTCCAACACCATGAGATGATACTCTAGAGCCATCAGTCAGTGTAACAGAAGGTAAATGATTAGGAGAGGATAAAGAGGAGAACAAAGATTTGTTACCAGTAATATGATCAGTGGCTCCCGAATCAAAAACCCTAGGACCAGGAGAAAATGATTGGGTCAGACCAGCAAAATATGTATTTGTATGTGTGACAGATATAGTGGAACTAGAAGACTGTTGATCCTTATACCATTCGAGAAATTTGTTGAACATAGCAGGCATGTCGGATGCAATAGAAGAAGGAAGATCCCCTGCAAATTGAAAGATATGAAGATCTTATTGAATTACTTTGGCAAAGATCTTGTTGATTTGATGAAGTAAAAAATGAAGTCAAATGCAACTTTGTGACAGTCAAAGGTCACTTAGATAAAAGAGTAGAGGGATTAGTGTGTCTGCAACTCTGCTTAAGTATAATCATTTTTATCTTTCTGCTGCATGAGGTTTCTTCATTTAAAAGATTTTGCAAATGCCTCTAAAAAAATGTTTTAACATTTAAAAACAAAGTATTTTGATAAAAGCTTTCTTAATCAACTATTTTAACTAATAGCATATGAGCTTTAT